CCCCCCCCCCCTTTTATTTTGAGCAATTGGCCGCGTTCGGTTTTCGATGGAGGGACAGAGAGAGAAGTGTACTGCAAAAGTACAATGTTCGCACGTTTTTGTTATTACTTTGCTTTCATGGTTGCACGATGGCAATGTTCGACGGCAAAAAAGGATTCACTTCAAAAGTTGTTCAGCGCAAGTTATGGGCGGACATGGGGAAAGAATTGGTAGATTGGTTGGCAATAGACAACGACACTCTGGCGCGAGTTAGTTCAATAGAGAGCGCAATGCACATGTTGCTTGGATGCGCAATTGAATCAGCTCGCGTTTGTCATTTGCGTATCCGTGACGCCTCATCCTATCTTTCCATCCTAGGGCGCTCCCAGGAGAAGGAAGGAAGGCCGTGGGAAGCGCGCCACTTCCGTCGCATCGCCCAGCCCCCGGCCGCCATGATACAATGATCAGCCCTGACACACACTGCACCTGCCTCGAACCTGCATAATGATACATGCAACGCAAGCTCGACGACATGTCCTCCTCCGCGCCGCAAGGGATCATCTACATCAACAAACCACAGCCGCATGAAACGCGTGCTCCTTGGCGCGAGCCTCCGGAGCCAGCGAATCCTGTCGTCAAGGGTCTACCGCTGTACTTTGGTGCTATATTGTACGTCTGATGAGAGAGAGTCCTTTTATTAATTTGACGTCGCTTCCTCTCCGGTACCGCATCGGCAAATGACATATTTTTGAAATACTTGTCGCGGCTGTCGCAAATCGCTACTACCATTGCTTCATGTTTTTTTTTTTGGGCCTCTGCTGACCACCTGAGTGTGCCCGTAGGATTTCCAAATTGGGTGCTTTGCAGCAGTTGTTGTGGAACAATGCCGGATTCGCTGCCCTACGTGATCGGCCTGAGCTAGAGGGTTTTGAACCACGATATGAGCCCTTGGTGATCAAGAGCAGTGCTGCTGGTGCTGCTGCCAACCTGGCTGACCAAGGAGAGTACCTGAAGGCTTTGTCACAGGAAGACTGGGCTGCTCGCCAACCGGCGAAGAAAGTCCATTGGAGTGCGCTGGATTATCATGAAGCTTATGTTTCTGGAAAGCTCACGCCTACTGCGGTTGCGAAGGCTCTACTGCCGCTCATCAAACGCGATGTGAAGACGCCACATAAGCATGCGACTGCGTACATACAGGTGAGAGAGGATTTGGTGCTCAAGGCTGCCGAGGAAAGTACCAAACGATATGCGGAAGGGACGTTCTTGAGCGTGCTCGATGGCGTTCCTGTGGCGATCAAAGACGAGATGGATCTCAGGTATGGCTTTGCATTGTCTCGGGGTAACTGATCCGGCTAAGATGAGTGCAGTGGCTACAACAAGTGCTTTGGCTCCAAGATCGACTATACACGCAAGGACGATGCGACTAGCTACTGCATGCAGAAGTGGCTCGATGCTGGGGCGATCATAGTCGGGAAGACAAACATGCACGAGTTGGGTGCCGACACGACCAACAATAATCCTAACTTCGGAACACCATTGAACCCCAACAATGAGAAAATCTACTGCGGTGGGAGCTCTGGAGGTAGTGCTTACAGTGTCGCTGCTGGTTTGACACCTCTCTGCGAGGGCAATGATGGCGGTGGCAGTATTCGACTACCTAGCAATTATTGTGGTGAGCATTTCGATCTCCTCGTGGAGATAGTGCTTCACGATCTGAGGCGGACTGCTGACTGTTTCTCTGTAGGCCTGTATGGCTTGAAGCCGTCTCAAGGAAGAATTTCAGGCCGGCCTACCACCAATCTCGCGAAGAGCAACGGCGTGTCGGGACCTTTGGCGGGCAATATGATTGACCTTGAGCTGGGATACCGCATCATGGCGCAGCCTGACGCGCTCGACAACGACGCCGCACTCTTTCAAGCACCAGGACCAGTAAAGCCTGAGTCTAGCAGAAACAAAGTCCTAGGCATCTACAAGCCATGGTTCGAAAGGGCGGATGCTAACGTCAAGTCCGCGTGTCAAGCAACAATCGATCACCTAGTCTCCAAACAAGGGTACTCACTCGTCGACATCACAATCCCCTACACCGGCGAAGGCCAACTCGCTCACGCCATGTCCATCCTCTCCGAACTCGCCACCGGCGTCCTCCAGGCCGACCAACCCAAACTAA